GCGTGGCAAACTCCGTCACTACGTCTTCGTAGATCTTTACGAGTGGAGATGTGCACTCCACGATATAATCAAGCCCGGTTAGACCAAACATTATCGGACCCGTTCCGAGTAAGTACGTGTAAGAATAGAATTAATTCAGTTGGGCGTGGGAACTTTATCTACATGTAGGCCTTATTTTTGATTTAGGTTGGTCTGTTCCTGAACTATTTGAAGGACCTTATCGACCTACAGTTGGGAGGTAGTAAATCGTTTGTGTTTTTTACCGTAGAATTGCTTCTACTTTGTTTTTTGGCAGAGGCAGAAGCCGATGAGGCAAAATAAAATTGAAGGAAAGGCGTCCTCTGGGAAAATGAGTAAACTTGAAATTACATTTCTTGGAATGCCTGCCTTTCAGTTTATACAAAATAAAATTGACCTCAATTAGAACCCTGTTGCCCACCTCACTCCTTCTAGCCTCCTCTCGAACATGGCGCTGTGTCAGCTTAAGGCCGGATCCAACGCCTTTGCGGTGAAGCAGTGCACTGCGGCCCTCGAATTGGTGCCCTCCGAGGAGGAACAGCTCAAATACGAGGATGGCGAAGGTATAACCCTCCACGACGTCGAGAAACTGCTCTTCCGACGGGGCTCCGCCTATGCTGCCTCCGATCTCCTAGACGAAGCTCACGACGATCTGACTCGCGTACTCCAAATGAACCCGGCCAACCAGCCTGCTAAGCGTCTGTTGGAGGATGTACAACGCCGACTAGCCTCGGTGCATAATCTGATGGCGGAGCGTCTTCGTCGTGCCCTCTGATACAATCTCTATCTTGCTCTCCTCACTTTTTTATTGACTCTTGTATGTGTATAAAGGCCGTTTACTTGAATTCTCATCTCCTTTTGTTTGTCCATAATACTACCAGGGTGGTTAGGCGTGTTTAACTCGTGTTCATGCATTGGCGGCTTTCATTTTTTTTAAAATATGAACTACCACCAGTGTGGGTTTGTGATGAGCATTGGCGGCAAAACGATGGTCACTGAAATTGTCATTTTTGGCTCATTAGCCGTCGTCAACCAGCCGTATCCAACCCCAAGTGGTGCACCACCCGCGACCCCTTTTATAAGAAGCTCGGCGCCCTAACCACTGAGCCACGGGATCGTTGTCTTGACAGTTTAGATTTGAGATATTGGTGACGTCAGTGTTTTTGCCATCAGTTGCCACCTA